GGTTTTTGTATGGTGATGATGGTGTTTGTGTGTTGTTGCAGCAGGTGTTTATGGCGGTGGCGACGACAGCTTTGTGATAGTCATGGCTTTGTTTCCGACGGCAATAGTGGTGCGTTTGTATTGTTGGTGACGGTGGTGCATTTGTGTAGTGGTGGCGGGGGTTGTGTTGTTGTGGTGGTGGTGGTGTGGCGACGACAGTGGTCGGTCTAGGGTGGTCGCAAGTTGCCTAGTGGTCGTTGCAGTAGTGTTGGTGGCGGTGGTATGTGACCACTACTTGGTGTATGTGACTAATTATTTGGTCATCTGTGACCAAGTATTGGTGGTGGGTTAGATCGGGTGGGGTGTTTCGGTATATGTGACCAACTAGACCTACAATTTTTTTGATTTGTGACTAATGAAATCAACTGTGACGTATAAAAATTTTGATTTGTGACCTCGAAATAATTTGTAACCAATTAATTTGATAAAATGTGACCAGTAAATAATTTGTGACTTATAAGGATGCAACTGTGACCATAAATTGTATAATTGTGATTTTAATATATTTAATTAATAAAATATGTTTAATTAATTAATAAATACCTCTAAAAACGTAAAAATTTGAATTCTGCTGAAAATTGATTTAGTGCTAGTTAAAATCTGATTTATGAACTCTTCCATTTTTTAAAAGAATTGTCTCTCTTTTGACTTATTTTATTAATTTATTTTTAAGAAAAAAACAGATCAATTGGTGGACGTTTCTACTCGACTCCTTTGGACTCATGAACAGTTCAATTCATAAGGCTTATAAGCCAAAGGGTTGAACTGATCCTAAGATTTTGAACATGAGCCGATCTCGAATGTTTATGAATTGCGTTTGCTCGACGCGTTTCAATCAATTGTCATTCCTAAGTATTTGATGTATTTTGATAATTTATTTAAATACTAATTTAGATGCTATGTTAGGGTCGGACAACGTTAAACGTATTATTTACCGTATTCATGTTTTCTTTAAGTCAGATCGATTTTGTTGTGGTTTTTTTTTTCCAAAAAAAAAAAAATTATATTGTAGTATCCTTCTTGCGATGCATGCATCCAAAACATTTAGGTGAATAGGTTCAAATTGAAAGGTGAGGCATTAGTAAGATTTTGGATTGTAGTGCACCAAATTCAATGTTTGCAGTTCATTTTTTTTTCCTTTGGGGCTATTATATTTTTATCTTTGTGTTTTTTATTTTTATTTTGTGAAATGACGACAATTATTATTTTGAACTCGTCAAACTGTAATTTTAAAAGGTTGAACTCCAAGTCTCCAACTTTGAGGATCTCCCATCGCCCCGTTCCTCGAGCATTGTGGATGAGGTAAATTGCGAGATGTGCCTCAACAGGATATGGTACAAGAGCTGATATATTGGTACTCACAAAGAGTCCAATTACATACCTTGTAAGAGGCAGGAATCAAACTCTCATACTGCGACTGTCTGCTCAGTTGAGACTACCTCACTCCTGTCATTTGCACCACTGAGCTATGCCCTGGGAGGCTCGTCAAACTGTAATTTTAATTATACATTAAATAGTTTCATAGCTTTTATCAACTTTTCAACTATAAATTTAATCAACTTTTATAAAAAGTTTTGTCGAGCAATCCCTGAAATATTATTTATGTCCATTGAATTGCAAGTACCTTTTTTATTTCCTCAACCAAGTCTGATAGCCTTGTGCCTTGTTTGAGCCTTCTTTTGTTTTGTTTTTTTTCCCCACAAAGGAGCCATCATGTTGCCAAAAGTGGCAGTGGTCGAGGCCCTTCCAATCCAACTAAGAAGTGCAATTTACATGCTTATCTAGACTTTCGAACTTGCATAATATGAACTAATTGAGCATATTTATACTTAATTTTACTATATATAATGCTTTTATAGATGAACCCTCATACTTGGCGAAGAATCGAGCAAAAAAGAGGTGAATTGGAGCGTAATCAAAAATAAAAAGATGAAATTGAAGAGCTTGACTGGAAGCGTTTGAAAGTGTCAATTGGATGAATTCATAAAAATTGGGGACCAAATTCAATATTTAGAGAAGTTTGGAGACCAAGTTGAACATTCTTTGACTATGGGATTAGTTACGGAGTATTGGTATAAACTAAATAAACTTTTTTTTTTGAAAAAAACCTCTTTACATAGTTATGACGTCATGCATGTTCCTAATTGCAATTATTCTACTTGTACATATAAATTTATAGATGTTGAGATAACACAATTTAATTAATTGATTTAACTTTGTTTTTCGTCCAAAATTCAATGAAATCTAGTCCGCTGACATTCTGTCAACCAATCTATAAGGGTGCGTTTGATTGCAAAGGTGGAAAATGGGTGGAAAGAAAATGATTTGCAGGAAAAATAATTACCTAGAAAATATTTTGTAGGGAAAATGATTTCAAATGTGTTTGATTGGTATAATTTTCCACCTGAAAAATTTTTAAATTTTCTATTTGTTTGACTTTGTTTTATATGGAAATTGTCCATTAAAATGATATTTTTTTCCACAATTGGTTATAAAATTTGTTTTCATTGCCAAAAAGTAAAAAAAAATGAAAAAAAAAATATTTCCTAAAAAATAATCTTCATATTCAATAAACGCCCACTTTTGGGACTTTGTTCCAAGAGGTTTGTCCCTTACACAATCGTCTGATTCCCTTTTAATTGTTAACGAGCGAAAAACGCGCGAAACACCTTGTAAGAAGCAGGAATCAAACCCTCACACTGCGACTGTCAGCTCATCTGAGACTGCCTCACTCATGTCTTTTGCACCACTGAGCTATGTCCTGGGGGGCTCGTCAAACTGTAATTTTAATTATACATTAAATAGTTTCATAACTTTTATCAACTTTTCAACTATAAATTTAATCAACTTTTATAAAAAGTTTTGTCGAGCAATCCCTGAAATATTATTTATGTCCATTGAATTGTAAGTACCTTTTTTATTTCCTCAACCAAGTCATATAGCCTTGTGCCTTGTTTGAGCCTTCTTTTGTTTTGTTTTTTTTTTTCCCCACAAAGGAGCCATCATGTTGCCAAAAGTGGCAGTGGTCGAGGCCCTTCCAATCCAACTAAGAAGTGCAATTTACATGCTTATCTAGACTTTCAAACTTGCATAATATGAACTAATTGAGCATATTTATACTTAATTTTACTATATATAATGCTTTTATAGATGAACCCTCATACTTGGCGAAGAATCGAGCAAAAAAGAGGTGAATTGGAGCGTAATCAAAAATAAAAAGATGAAATTGAAGAGCTTGACTGGAAGCGTTTGAAAGTGTCAATTGGATGAATTCATAAAAATTGGGGACCAAATTCAATATTTAGAGAAGTTTGGAGACCAAGTTGAACATTCTTTGACTATGGGATTAGTTACGGAGTATTGGTTATTTGATTTATTTGAAAAAAAAAACCCCCTCTTTACATAGTTATGACGTCATGCATGTTCCTAATTGCAATTATTCTACTTGTACGTATAAATTTATAGATGTTGAGATAACACAATTTAATTAATTGATTTAACTTTGTTTTTCGTCCAAAATTCAATGAAATCTAGTCCGCTGACATTCTGTCAACCAATCTGTAAATGTAACATGTACCATTTCCCTTTTGAGAAAGCAGTCCCAAAATTCAAAATTTTTTCTACAAAAGATTATTTTTCCAATTTTTTCAAAACACGCAGGATTTTTCGGAAAGTCTCGCATTCCCAATGTAAAACTAGTCCAGTTATAGACCAAAAATTGAGTAATATTAAAAACAGAGTCAGAAATTTTTGATGTAGCTAACGGTTTTAGCAGTATCCATGTCAAAATTTAAGTACAACTATTGATTTATGCCATCAATACGACATATTCCTACACCAATCGCGATATCAAAGCCACCACGGGAATCTCAGTTCTTAAGGTCTAAAAACTAAAACTTTGTAGGCTGCCGCCAGAGTGAACGTGCAAACAAAAACCTTATCAAATGGATTGCCCAATTGGCTCACTCAGCGTGTCTACCACAAGCCAATAAACTTCCACCAGGCCCCTCCAACTCCAAGCCAGATAATAAGATTGACAACTGAGATCAGGAATCCGTAGCCCCACCATTTCGCTAGCGGCACATAGCCAGCACCATAGAACACGGGTGCTGATCCAATACCATAATGGGTGATGCCACCCATAAGATTAGAAAGGAACGAGAGAACAAGTGCTCCGAGGTATGGTGGAGTACCCAGAGCACTAGCTACGGATAAGAATGCTGTAAACATGGCACCGATGTGAGCAGCCCCACTAGCAAAGAAATAGTGAGAATAGAAGTAAAGAAGAACAAGAATGCCGAAAGATAGCTGCCATGAAAGACCCAATCCACCGACAAACTGCCAAAAAAGAAAATAAACTAGTGAAACTAACAATCATGGAATGGAATGATCAGCCATCTGAGGTCTCTTTTCCTTTGTTTATGGTAGAAAAAGAAAACATATAATAAAAAACACAATGACATTGACTTAGAAAGGTAATATGGGGGTCCTCAAGTGCATAACTCGAACTTCATATGACATACTAGTTACATATGAAAAACAGGACCTCATCTTACTTTTGTTTTTTAATACAGTAGAGGTAAACTGGGAACTCAATATGTACTTCAGTAGTTTCTCAAATTAAAACCGTATTCCAATAAATTAGCGGTCAATTATATAAATACTTTTTGTCCACTCTTTGATCCCTCGCTACATTGATTAGAAGTCCCATACGGTCAAATTCTTAGCAACTACTTCATGCCATGTTAATTTTGATCTACCTCTACACTTCCCAACCCATTTTACTGGGATCCCAACCACTTAAGTTGTCCTTATCTTAATTTATACTCAATTGGTGCCAAATCTACTTGGTGGTTTATAATCTCATTGAGTAAAGTTATTTATCATGATCATCATCGGTCTAATTGACAGTGGACCCCTTGATTCATTGTACTATATTATTCATTCTCATTTTTTGTCTTATCCATTCTAGTAGGGTTAAATCCATCAATGGCCATCCAACCTTATAATTAATGTCACATGGGTTACCCAATTTGATTTTGTTTCATCATGACCATCCAATTTCATACTTAATTCCAGTCAAGCCACCCAATAACTTTATTTAACATAATCAAATTGGGTGACCACGTGACACTAAGTATGAAGTTTGGTGGCCATGGTAAAATAAAATAAAATTGGATGGCCCATGTGATATTAAGTATAAAATTGGATAGCCATTGGTGGATTTAACCCATTCTAGTACGACCAGACATCAATTATCATTTCAATTTCACTACTCTTACCTTATGGACATATTAGCCTTTAATGGCCCATCAATCATTATAAATATTACATAAAAGTCTTTATGCCAGTATAAAGCACTAGGAAATTAAGTTCACCGTATTTCTTTACCCAAATTAAGAAAAATCTCGAAATGCATCAGCACTTCAAATAATTTAAAGAAGGCATGGAATGCAGAGGCAAACCTTGACCACGGTTTGGCTAAACCAGGAGATGAGACCAAATTTGTTCAGATATCCAGCCATTGCAATGAGTGCCGCAAACCATGTAAGGGTGTCCCAAGCAACTGCCTCAGCCAAGCACTCCTTCCACGTTACAACCCCAGTGATAAGGAGGACAGACAATCCGAGAATTGCAGCGGTAACAGCATCCACGTTCAGGACTCCTCCGAAAATCCAGAGCCCCACCTAATATATCGCAGATGAGAAAACATCAGGATAAATGATTTTGCTGGAGAAGCCACACGAACAGATTCTAGTCACATTTCACTCTGAAAATCGCTTAATTTCCGTTTCAATAAAATGATGCACACATTGAGGGCAGAAGTTATCTGTAGACCATCTACTAATTTAAGTTTCGGTAATAGACACTTCTTTTCTGCGTCGTGTGAACATTGACTCATTGAAAGGGTAATATAGTTATATTCCAATTGCAAGCTTCAGTTTTCCTCGAGTAGAGGATTGAGGGATCACAGTTAAGAGTAGGACACTAGTAAATATGTTGCTGTAACTCATACTTGACCAAGTACATATAGCAACAATATTAAAATTACATGGCAGATCGATGCATCAAGTGATACTTCAGGGATCAAAAAATCAATTAAATAAAACATGGAAAAGACACTTGATGAATATTAAATAACTTCAAGGCTTCATTAACACAATCACGGCTACAAAGCAATTGCAGTAACTCCAAGGCTGTCAAAGATTATCAGCATTAACCTAGTTTCACATTTCGACTATAAAACTTCGCACAATGTATGCAATATGGTAGGTTAGAAATTTGATGTACAACTACCACCTATACAGGAGTAAAGAAGGTATATCTATATTATACAAGGAAAATACAAGTCAGATCTGAAAGATCACAGAGTGGCGAAAGACAGAGAATAGAAGAAGGTTTCAGATGGTATTAATTTTTCACAAGATTTGAACGATGATGAAATGCAATTGCACATGGCATGTTCTACCTTTCAATGCAAAACTAATTTCATCTCACTTTTCTTACAATAAATTTTTGAGAAAGTTTTGTATATGGGTAACTTACTAGGTTTTTCCTTCTTTAGTTGTTTTATGTTCACTTTCTTATATAATGTGGCTACACCAACTCTCTGATAGACACAGTTGGCCAATCGCTTGTACATAATATTTTGGGTAATATTATACTGTGGATGGCACAATATTCACACATGAAATTGTGAGAAATAAAGACATCTAAAATTCAAACATTCAGCACCACATGGTATGTTGCTCAAATCAAATTCTCCACCTTCCAGAAAAAATAATAAGCTTGAGAGAAGGATTTCTTTATTTTTTATTTGAAAAATAAAAATAAAAAAATCAAGGTTGAGAAGTTGGTAGTACCAGAATCATTACCCACAATTTCTTCTACAATCAACAAAAGCTCATGCCAAAGTTAAAAATTGGCAACAAGGAGGAAAATTCAATAAGATAAAATTCTCCAAGAACATGCGGAGTTGCCTCAACTTTATGAGGACCAAAAGCAAGATTTCGAATAGGACCAGGAACTACTGAAATAAGCACAAGATCAGGCAAAGCAATATGTAAATGCATTTGTCTTTACATATAGGTATGCCACCAAAGTGCCACCGTATGATAAATCATTCTAGATAAAGCATGTTATGCCATCAAGTTGGCAGCTACAAAACACTTCTTTAACTAACATTAAATAAATGTTTTGTTGTTAGTATGGAAAAGAACTAGGCAACAGGCAAGCACCAATTAGCATTTCAAGATAACTCTTCTGAGTGTTTTAGCAACATAAGGTGAATCTCAAGCATCATCATATTTTCAATTAGCAATCATGACCTCAATATCTTCCTACGTTCAATGTCAAAAATATTCACGATTGGTCTTCTTTTGGGGGTACGATCCACCACTGAATTTAAATAGAGTGGTCTCAGTTTTTTTAAAAGAGAAACAACTTTCAAGATTCAGATTTTTCTAAGGGTTCTGTGAATCCTAAAATAACACAATCTCCTCCACATTAATAATAATAATAATAACAATAACAATCATCATCATCATCATCATCATCATCATAATAATAATAATAATAATAATAATAACAAGAGTCAATCCAATCACATTCTACCAGCCACATATTAATGGAAAAAATTTCCAACTGCTGTATTTTATTTCAGCTGACATATGATTTGCCTCCCGCCAAATTTTTTATTAAATACGGTCATTCAGTCAAGCAAATGACTATAGTGCCCTTTTATTAATATTTTCTCAAGGCAAAAAAATCTTGGCAAAGTTGACAAGGCAGACTGGAGTGTACATGGACTAGAAACTCTCATAAACTTTGCCTAATTTGACGAGAAGCCTAAATGGTTTGAAATTGTACAAAAAGAAAGGGAAAGCATGTCTAAATGCACTAGGCATTTGATGAGAATTCTAGATTGGTTTAAAATTAATGCAAAAGGGAAGATGTAGAAGGGTATATTTGATAAAAATTACAAAAGTTGGACACTATTTACAAAACAAAAAGTGGTGGACACATTTCACTTTCCCTCTCTAAAAAAGACCACCCCATCTAGTTTCCTCTATATTAATCTTGGCAGTATGCTAGCACCAAAATCGAAAGAAAATGGATGGAACCAAAAAATAAAAAAAATAATAAAAAAATTAAATGCAGAATTAGACAAAAGTCTGAATGAAGCAGTGTCTAAAAAGCCAAACTATGATACATGCCAGATTTTTATACCGTGAGAAGCAGGGTTCCGGCCATGATTATCTCATTCTTCGACATAGGTCCCATCTTCTCCAATTTCTCCCTAGCAAGCTTAGGCGCATCAGGGCTACTCTTCACCTGGGGTGGATAAATTACATATAACAACAATGGAACCACAATCAATGATACCAATCCTGGCACAATTGCAGCCTTAGCCCAATCCATCCACCCTATAGTCTGATTTATCGTGTTTAAAGTCAAGTTCGCAGCCAATGGATTCGCAGCCATGGCTGTTAGAAACATAGATGATGAAATCACTGAGGTTTGGAAGCATGTCAACATTAGCCACGACCCCAATTTATTCTCAGTTCCATCACCTACATTACTACCACAAGCAACACACAATGACTTCACTAACGGCAAGAAAATGCCGCCAGCCCTGGCGGAAACAGAGGGAATAGCAGGAGCCAATAGGGCTTCACTGAAAACTAAACTGTAGCCTAGTCCTAAAGACGAGCTCCCAAACAAAGAAACAAACTGATACGCAATTCTGTTCCCTAATCCAGTCTTAATAAACCCACGAGCAAAAAAGAAGGCCAAGGCAATTAACCATGGAATGGGATCCCCAAATGCTGAAAAGGCAGCGGCAAATGTAAGTGTTTTAGTCAAAACACAAGCGCCGAGACCCATCAATGCCACGGCCCCCAAAGGTAAAGGCTGAGTAATAATCCCCACTATGGTGGCCAAGAAAATTGACAACAATTGCCACGCATTGCGTGAAACCCCAGAAGGCGCCGGAACAAGCCACAGAATAACTCCTGTCGCCATTGACACTAAAAGTGGCTGTATAGCAGCTCCCTGCCACGGTTGCTGCGGCGGAGGCGGTGGGGAAGCCGCGGAGGCAGAGGCGGTCATGATCGGCTCCCTTTTCGATGAAGGAAGTAAAAATGTGGGTTTTTTAATAATGGGTTGAATATGATCTCTTCGTTGTGGATAGTTAAGCGGGTTCGTAGAGTCATTACTGCTATTTCTAACGACAGATTTAACAAAGGGGATAGATTTCGGAGTAGGAATGCGGAGTCTGGCGGCGGAGAGTGGCCGGAAGTTCAGGGAGGAGGTCCGGGCTAAAGACGCCATCCTTTTTATGGCGTGAAGATCCGACTTTCGAGTTGGAAATGGCAGTGAGCGGGGTTTGTGGGTTTCTATATGGTAATGCGAGAACGAATTCGACTTGTTCGATTTTGATCAGACGTATATACTGTTCGTGAGGGGGACCAGGTTGGATCCTGGTTTCTTTGGCTTCGGAAACTCCGCCGCCACCTGGCGTCTGTAACTATTTTTGGACATTTACTAGGGGTGGAGGTCTCTAACGTGCGCGTGGTGCATAAAAATCCAAAAGCATATCCACGTGGCATTATTCTAATTTTAAAGGTAATTCTTCCACCAAAAAGCAAAATGATAAACCCACTGAAAAGTGAAAACTCCATACTATCTCTCTCCCCGCACATTTACAGGATGAAGCAAATGTCATCACTGGACCTTTGCACCTCAATTTTACCTTTGCTCTCTCCAATCCCCAAGTGTTTCCCTTCTCCAACAGGGTTCTCTTTCTCCAAGCCCCGCCTCTGCCACCTTAATCTTCGGAGTCGTTTTCTTTCTCCGCCGGCCGCTGCCCAGTTCTCCTCTGGCAAAGAAAATGAAGAATTTTTGTTAGAAGAAATAAACGAAAATGAAGAAGAGTACGAACTTGGATACGATTCGTCTGTGGAGGTGGAGGGGGAGGGGGAGGAGTTTAATTTTGAAGAGCTTGAACGCCAAGCCCAACTAGCTGTAAAGGATTACTCAGATTCCTTGTCTCTCCAATTGAAAATCGGTTTGCTTCTCAATCTCTCTCGGTCTCTCTCAACATTTCTTAATTATGCGAATGCCCAAAACGGCCAAAATTAAAGCTTCATAAATGAAAATAACTATTAGTCCCTTGGTGCCTAAGATTAAGGATGTGGTAATACCAGAGCAAGGTTTGAGCATCGATACACGCAATACAGTATTGGCATTTTCGAGTAGCCTGTGCTTCTGAAGATGACTTTGATGTTGGGTGGAAGCATTAATGCACTGTAGGTCAGTTTTCTTGGGACTGCTTTGGAATTGGATTTTGAAGAAACAATAACAGAATTTGGTGATTGCAACATGTCTGCATTCTTCTTGTACAGGCATTTTAAGAAATGTAATCTCCTAGTACTATTAACCTGCTCCTAATAGAACTAAAAAACCTACTTATCAACAGAACAAGAAAACTAATACACCCTCCTCTCCGCCCCATTTATATAGGCTGGTTTGTTTTTTCACACGGATTAAGAAATCTTATTTAATGTTATTGAAAAAGCAATTTTTGCGAAAACCTTTCCTAGTTTAGTCTTATTTAATTATCAACAACTAGTAGAAAATTGGTTATAACTAGGCAAAAAGAAACATGATTATATAGTTGGGACAAGAAAGTAAGGAAAGTCGGCTTATATAAATGGGACAGAGGGATTAATAATAAAATACTAATAACTAGCAAAACAGGAGGAATAAGCTGGTTTTGTCAGCACTTGCATTCCCTCCATCAGTTTTCTTGTACGTTTGAACTAGGGGCGTGTCACAGATGTTGATTTTGTCATACATTGTGCTTCAACAACTGTCCATTGGTTTGGATGGAGTGACAATTCTCTTTGTTGTTGTTGATTAACTTACAAGGAGTCGCATAAAGAATTCCGTTTGTTGTGGAATGGGCATGAGAAACAAAATGAACGCACCTTCACATATATGCATGCATTTTGTAAATGTGTAAATTTTTGTATGCATGTATCTGTAGATACATAAATTATGAAATATTTGCATCCAGGGGCTTGAGAAGAGTAGACTTGGAGCTAAATGGTTGAGACAGAATGAAATTTATAAGAAATTTAATTAATCAGTAATCATGACATGTTTTCAGATGTAAAAGGGGAACCCCTCCTAAAGAATTGGAGCCTCAGGGTTATTGCTAGAGAACGAAAAGAAATGAAAAACAAACATGTATATAGTTATTCTTATTTCTATTAAACAAACCATGAGAAAACATAATACTCTATAGACAAGCATAAATTGGAAACTGACTTTTTAATCTTTCTGGATTTTTCAACATTCTTAGTGCTGAAAATTTAAAATCATGGGAGAGAAGGGCGGGCAATTTTTGAATACCCAGGGTCACCAACTAGATTATCTAATGCATGAGGCAAGGGTCCTGGTTTAAAATATCCGTGGACCAGCAGCATCGGTTATCAGATCAGTTACTGTTGGGCAGTTAGTTGTGAAGTGGACTCAAAAACCTAAAAATGATTTGTACCTAGTGACTCAAGCTTATTGTATGTAGATATTGACATTAACCCCTTCATGAATCAACTATTTTGTGGACAAGTTTCTAATAGTTGATGAGTATTTCGAGAAATATGCATGTACCAGTATGAAGATTGCAAAATTAAATTGAGTAACATTCAAGGGCAAGTTTCATTTCAAGTACCAGAATTCTTATTGAAGTGAAGTTTTGGTGTTTAGTTTTTGTCCATTTTCTGTCGATGTTGACATTTCACATATTATTGTTCTGATGCTTCAGAAGACGAGACTTCCAGTCAAAAGGACACTCGTGGAAAACAGAAAAGGAGAAAAAATACCACTTTCAATGTCAGTGAAATTCTTGTCTCAGTCGTTGTATATGTTTTATTAAGGCCTTCTAGATCTAATTCGTCTGTTTTTTGTATTTAATGAAAAAGATAAGAGGAAGGGAGATTGAGAAGGAGAGCACATGTACATTCAATGAAGTTTGCACAAAATGCACATATGCTTGATTAGAAGACTGTGAGTGCGAATGTAAAAATATGCTGCACAATGCACTCTTATAGAATTCAAGCCGTTTCTATAATTCCAAGGCTCTGAGGTCCATGCATCATGTCACCCTTTTTAGTTTCTTTTTTTCTTCACCTGATCATCACAATAAAGGAAGGGTTAATATTAATGAGTGCACACCACAATACATGATTATTAGAATCAAAGACAGTACAGGATTATTCTGATTCAATTGAACTTGTCAATTCCTATTATAGACTACAAGATTATCGAATGCTAGGATATAAGTATCACTTTACTTGTTCTTACCTTTGCTCAGTGCATCATCGTAGATTTTGCTTACATGTTCTTGTCAATTAAATTTATCTACAGGTTCCAGATCATCTTCTTCCGAGGGTTGCAATTGTCGGAAGGCCAAATGTTGGTAAATCAGCACTGTTCAATCGTCTTGTTGGGGTATATGGCATTCTTAGATAGAATTGGTTTTTCCTAGCTCAAACTCATGTGCATTTGCTTTCGTAACCCGGGAATATTAACTTTTCTTTCTTTCAAATATTTCATTCTTTCAGATTTTTGTTTGTTATCTGTCTTGTATTTTTAAAAGCAAATATTAATTTGCTCAACTGATATCTTTGCAGGGGAACAGAGCCATTGTGGTAGATGAACCTGGTGTGACAAGGGATCGTTTGTATGGTAGATCATTTTGGGGAGAATATGAATTCATGGTAGTGGATACTGGAGGTGTTCTAACTATTTCTAAGTCACAGACCAATGTGATGGAAGAATTGGCTGTCTCTACAACCATTGGCATGGAGGGGATTCCCCTTGCCTCCAGGGAGGCTGCTGTTGCCAGGATGCCTTCGATGATTGAGAAACAAGCTACAATAGCTGTAGAAGAGTCATCTGTCATCATATTCCTTGTTGATGGTCAGGTAGGATCATTCATTGAGCTGCTGTTTCTTTGATAACCTTGTGCATTTATCTACTTATTTTAGTTATGCAGCCTAGCACAAAATTATTAAAAATTTGCCCTTTAAAGATGTATCAGGATTCACTTTCTTTGTGTCAATCTCATATCATTATACTTTTGAATGAGACGTTAAAGTCTTTCTGGATTAACTGAGGAGAATAGTTTTGTATATAACTGGCGTCAGGTAGAATGTGTCCATGGAATAGTTTAGTAGAGATTGTTGATGTGAGTGCTGCCCCTTTCTTTTAACACGTATGCCTGAACTACTAGAGTATTCAAAAATAAAAAGAAAAAAAAATAATATGAGTATTCTAACTGTGAGAGTTGCAAAAAAGTGGTTTTCTTGTGTGTGTGAATTGAGACGAAGAATTTTAATATGGAACAAGTACAGTAGCTTGCTATAAGCTAATTTCAATGGTTTTATTATGTAGTATATAAATTTGAAACGATGATGGGCTCAAAGCAATGAGTAATTAGTATACCCATCTTTATTTCCGGATATTATTATATGGAGATCCTTTTTTTATTAATGTGTAATTCTTATTTATTGTGGACATCCGAATTAACCAACTCTGAACAGGCAGGTCTAACTGCGTCTGACGTGGAAATAGGATATTGGTTACGGAAAAACTATTCTCACAAATGTATTATTCTTGCTGTCAACAAGTGTGAATCTCCTCGTAAAGGAGTAATGCAAGCATCAGAATTCTGGTCTTTGGGGTGAGCAAAATTTCTTCTCTCTGCAGGACCTCACCTTTTATGTCAACCTTGCTCATGAATAGGTTGTATTTACAATATGAAAATCGCAGACTTGGAGGCTCCGGATTTTCATTATTAGATGTTTAAACTATTTGCCATCATTCTCTTCCTCATTGTATTCCTCAAAGAAAACAAGTGAAAGAATAAAGGAAGCAGAAACATAAAGGAGAGAATATTAAGTAATGGAAATGAAAAATAGCTTCTAGCTTTCCAATAAAAAAAGGAAGCACAGCTTGTCCTCGGAACATCTCTTGGCTTCTCATGAATAAGAAATTTCAAAAGTTTCTCAAACTTATCTATCATCTGCGAGCTTCCCATGATCTAGTCATGTCTGGTTGTGAAGCAGTTTCTAGATCTAGGTTTTAATGCTTTCACCTTGCTGGTTTATGTTTTTGAGATTCCCATCTCTGTTGTTGGAGATGCCCGAATTGTTTCTTTTAAGCAGAAAATAAAACATAACAAAGATAATTGGGCAAAGGTACAAGGTGGCACTAACGTGTTACACATAAATTACAGAAAGCAATGCCCAGGAACATAATCATGTAATTTTTGTAGCCTCATAGAATACAGAAATATTTCTTTTTATCTTGTTCTTTTCCATACTGGCTTATTACGTTAAAAGACAGCTAAAAGAGGTTTCAATTTCCATCTTTTTTGACAATGTTTGGTATAGAATAGTATTACAAACCCTTACTGATCCATGGTCATTGGTTTGGGCGACGAGTGAAAAACAATAATTTCAGATAGGCTGCCATTTACTGCATTTCCTGTCCATCACGTCTCTCATCATACAGCTGTATTACAGTTTAACTCTTTGTCCCATGCTTTTGAAACTATAATGCTATTCTTACATCTAACAGCATGAAAAATTGGTTTTTATCTACATAGAATGCGGATTTCTGAATTATTTCTTGGTGTTATTGATTGTTTTTACTTGTTTGCTTGATCAACTAGGTATTCACCACTTCCTATATCTGCTATATCTGGGAGTGGAACTGGAGAGCTTCTTGATCTTGTTTGCTCACAACTAAAAAAAATTGAGGTACATGTTCCCTTTGCAATGGGGAAAGATGCTGGGTTGTTCCTATTTATAAATTTTTTTTGTAATTTTTTTTTAATGTTTCTTCTGATGGATCTTCAATATGATTAAAAAAAAAATTCATTGAACTTAAATTAGGGCGTGTTCGGTAGAGATTAAAATCGGATTAAAATTGAAAAATTAGCCGTTATTGTTCACTTTTATTAGACGAACGGGACCCAATAACGACCATATTTTCAATTTTAATTGGATTTTAATCGGAAACAAACGGGCTCTTAATAAAGGAAAAGCAAATCAATGAACTTATTTTTACTTCTATAGACAGAAAACAATGATGAAGAAGAAGATTATGTTCCTGCAATTGCGATTGTTGGCCGGCCAAACGTTGGTAAAAGTAGTATTCTGAATGCTTTGGTTGGAGAGGACAGAACAATAGTCAGTCCAGTTAGTGGAACAACACGTGATGCCATAGATACTGAATTTACTGGGTCAGATGGCCAGGTGAGTTATATGACTGCTGCCTTTCTTTTCTAACATGATAGAATCACTTACAAACATTAGTATATGCAAGGTTTGAGCAGGACGCGATACTTCTCTGTTCAACAAATTGAAATTAACATTCATGGCTTCCCTAGTTGGCTTTCAAAAGGCTCTGTTTTCCTGTATACCTATTTGTAAAAATTGATCACTTTTGCATTTTCTTTTTCTCGTCAAATTTTTTTTCTCAAACACCTAAATTTTGGTATTGGTGCTTGTCAAGATATTTTTCTCTATAAGGTGGCCAGAATTGATTAAATCTATTTACATACTCCTTAATTTTTGTTCAAAATTAAAAATGATTTCACTGGTTGTGAATTTGGAGTTGGCGGGACAAGATGTCCCTCCATGAGGTGGCCAGGACTGATTGGCTAAATTTACATACTCAATTATTGATTTTATAATTCATCACTTCTTTCTGCTTTTTTTTTTTATTCAAACGTATAAATGATTTACTTGATAGTATTTGAATGGTAAGTTGTAACACAAATGGAAGAACCTACCAGTTTTAAATTGCAAGAAAAGGTTCTGGAACTTGTGCCAAGAGGAAAGATGGAAGATTATTCATATGACCCCGCAACAGAAAACTTCTAAAATGCTCATGTAAATTTTCTCTCCCTGATGGAGTAGAATTGATAATGCACATCTATGTATTAGTGATACCTTCCTCTTTTTTCTGATATTCATTTTCGATGGTATTATAAAATATTGACTTTGAGCTTTCTCAAACACACACCAAGTCAGCAAGTTCCATTATGCAATAGTAGTAAAATATTAGTCAAATGCATGCTTCCTTTGGACTTTCTTAACTTTGACATTAGAAAACTATTTGGCAGAAATTTCATCTTATTGATACAGCTGGTATCCGAAGGAGAGCAGCCGTAGCTTCATCAGGTAGCACCACGGAGGCTCTATCTGTAAATCGAGCATTTCGTGCCATTCGTCGTTCTGATGTTGTGGCTCTTGTAATTGAGGCCATGGCCTGCATCACAGAGCAGGTAAATCAGGCATAGATTTTGGTATTTGTTTGATCATTAAGCATGAGCATTTTTCATGAACAAGAAAGAAATGATTGAGCTTTAGAGCTTGGTAGGTCAAGAGAGTTCTTAATTGAAATAATGTCTTGTAGACAATACGAATAAATTACTGCATCCAAAGCCTTATATCTGCCTTTTTCCCCAATTTCTAAATGGTATGTTTGGAATTTCTCACTACAAATTATCTGAATGTAATTTGTATGCCTCTGGATATAATGACATTAATATGCCATTACAACTTAACAAATTTCATGGATTTTCTGATCTCTGTAATTCTACTAGTTATCTATTTTTCTATTGGAATCTACAACAAGACATGCATTTACTCATTTGTCTTTAGCTTCTGCTTCTGGATGTCCTCATTGTTGACATTTGAAACCTATATGTAGCTTTGTAGAGGAAAAGGGTAGAGAATCCTATACACTATGTCTATGTAAACTAGCTTTCTATTTTTCATTTTGCTTATTGTTTGAAAACTTTCTCATTGTAATGCTGTTCTTGTTAAAAATCCCATGGTTTTTATTTCTCTTTTGCAGTTCTTGCTTATTCCTTTTTCATATATGTATTTTTGTGACTTAGTTTAAATTCCCTTAATTGTCTAGGATTTCAAGATTGCTGAACGGATAGAAAGAGAGGGGAAGGGTTGCCTGATTGTTGTGAACAAGTGGGACACAATACCCAACAAAAACCAGCAAACTGCTATGTATTATGAGCAAGATGTTAGAGAGAAGCTACGAATTCTTAATTGGGCACCCATTGTATACTCAACGGCAATACAAGGGCATAGCATCGAAAAGTATGTTTATAAGCAAAATATCTTTTTATATTTAGAGATACATGCAATTTTTATTTCAATGTCAATGTTAGATGCAAAATTTTCTTTTTCTTTTTTCCCCCTCCTAATGAAACCCAACGATAAGCAGATGATAAATTTTACTTTTTAAGTAATTTTTTCTCCACCTGTATCAATTGCCATTCTACTTTGTTCGAGACTTCAAAATTAAATGGTATAACACCTATTTCAACTAGTTTGCATCATTTCATCATGTTCATTGTCGACTCAAGTATGAGATTCATTGCTGAACTTACTCTCCTACAAGAATATCACATGCTTGCAAATTTTATGTAAAAGAAAGAATTCATTTAGGATTAGTGATGTCTATATTAATATTTTCATTCTTTCTATATTTTCTCTTTTCATTCTATAGAATCATTTTGGCTGCTGGTATGGTTGAGAAAGAAAGATCGAGGAGGTTAACTACAGCGACATTGAATCAAGTGGTAAGGGAAGCAGTTGCCTTCAAGCCACCTCCAAGAACTAGAGGTGGGAAAAGAGGACGTGTTTATTATTGCACTCAGGTACTTGTGCAACATCCAGAACACAGCATGTTAACAATATGCTTAAATAATCTTGCTGCGGTGGATCATCTCTGCATGATTTGTCATGAGAGCAATGGAGCATGCATTTAAAAGAGTGTATTGATCTGAGACTTGATTATGAAATGGCTAATCAATTTAGATATTGTTGACAAACCTCTTTTCTTGTCGAATGAAATTTTTGAGACTGTTTACCGAGTAATCCTTACTAAAAGATAAAAAATTGCATAGGAGCGCGTTTCACTGAGCTTAAAAAGTTTCACTTAGAAGTAAACTTCTAAGTTTTAAACTAAATAATTTATTTTATTTGGTTAGATATGGGAATAGAAATAAGTTACCTATTTTGATAGTACGTTAAAAGCTACTTTCAAAATAAGGAACTTATTCTTACTTGAAGTAAGAGAAAAGTAAATTACCTGGACACGTCTGAAAACATTTTTAGGGGGTGTTTGATGCTCATTTTTGAGAAAAAATGCATTTTATGATGTGATGTGATGGAAAATATGTGGTTAAAAAATAATGAAAGGTTTTGGATTTATGTGTAATATTATTTTATTGAAGAATGTGTGGTTGAAAATGAGTTTTGAAAGAATGAATTTTGAGAAGATATGGATCAAACAGGGCCCTAACAATATTTAAGCTTAGCCAGACATGCTTTAAGTATATTTTTGCCTGAATGTGAATGGAGTGATAGAGTGACCAAATTATTGTGCCAACAGAGCTTTCACCTCTTCGTTTGACATATTTTATAATTTTTGCACCTCGTGTGTGGCAATATAATTCATGTCCCCAAAGAAAGGCCTGGAAACTGTTGGTCATTGGAACATCACATTACAACTACTGATGTATACATGATAAAACTGCATTTTTTACAGGCAGCTATTAGACCACCTACATTTGTCTTCTTTGTAAATGATGCAAAGCTTTTCCCTGAAACATATCGGCGATATATGGAGAAGCAACTAAGAACAAGTGCAGGCTTTACTGGCACACCAATTCGGCTTCTATGGCGCAGCAGAAGAAAACTGGAGAAATATGATGGTAGGTTGAAAGAAAATTATTATTTTAGCTTCTCCTGTTTGTCTTGCATCACTCCATGTGATATGTTGATAGTTCTAGTGTTTATACACAACATGGGGACAGTTGAACCCTTATGTGCATTTTATTATTTCAAATATAGAATGGGAAATTTGCATCCGTGGTCCCCAGTTTTGGGGTCACCAACCATCTTTTTGGCAGTTAGATATCAATATTTTGAGCAAGTTGGTCCTTTTGATTTTTTTGGTCCGAAATAAACATTAAATTCATTGAAAATATCATATTCCCCTCAAGATCAGGAAGGAAAAGTCATATATTAAAAAATTAAAAACGGGATGGAAAAAAAGATAACAGTGAAATGCACAAAAGGAAAAATAACTTCCTCTGATCCACCGTACCGTCAGCCCACATCAGTCTGCCCCTGCCCCAATACATTGGAGACAACGGTTGCAATATTTCAACATAGTAAATATACGTTGGTCGTTGGTCCACCTACCCTCTGGTGCAATCTTTATTCTACCAAATTTATAAAACTTGTATTCTTTCTGATTTATTGTTATGTCAATCTCTGTTTGTTATTGTGCTCAAATTAATTTACTCTCTTGTAAACAAGTCTTTATTTATTTATTTATTTATTTTTTTTTGGAAAAATAAAAAATTTAAAACCCTCTCCTTTAAAAGAATCAATGAACGAACTTGTAATTACTCATTTTTGTTTCCAGGAAAGGATGCTGCAACAAAGAGACAAGTGAATCTAGTGCCAAGTGACAGCGGGTTGGCAGTAACAAAATGATCGATACGTCTAGTTGAGTTAGACGGGCTTCATGAATTGATTATCATCTTGGAGCATTGGCGTTGAAAGTACACATAATACAGGTAATTTTGATTAGTGAATGGAAAATCTCCAGTTGTTTCTTGATGATGAGCAGAATGTAAGTTTGTAACTTATTTGGTAGGGTGGAATGTACGGGATTGAACGGTATTAAAAAAGAAAAAGAACCATCAATTTTGTTGAGTATGCTGTCTAGTTGAGTCTTGACTTGTAGTTTCCACCAAGCAGGCACATGATGTGGTTCAATGATGATGATGGTAGTTTTAACATAACCAACTCTTGTAGCTTGGATAATATTTATTATGACCAACTGGTATTATTTTTATGTTGAATAAAATTACTTGGCCTTGTGGGTAGGTGATTTTTGGTGTCCCAATTGCTTAACCTTTAAGGCTGGTGTGGTTCCTTCTATATCCTCTTTTCTAACTAACATTAATGTCATTTGTCTTGTATGTTAATAATAATTTTGGAATTTTAGTGGTTGGAAGTAGAAAATAATTGCATTTGATTTCATGAATTATTAGATATATGTTTTAATTTTTAAATACAGTTGATGTATTGTATATCCAATTTTTAATTTTCTTCAAGCGATGCTAAGCTTAAAATAAAATACGTGTTACTTTTTAATTTGAAATACGTTGAATATGTTACCTTTTTCCCTTTTTTTAAGTTTTTGATTTCATTAATCAGACATGTTAACATTTTTATTTTTTTTCAAAAATAGGTGGTCAAATGGATGTAGCTAACATGTCACAAATAGGGCTGGGCATGGGTTCAATTGGGCTGGGTCGAATTTTGCCTCAACCTAAACTCAAGCCAATATAATATGATCGGTTTGATCAAAATTTAATTCAATTCAATCCGTGTAAAGGTTGAAATCCAACCAAACTCAATCAACTATCGGTCGGATCGGGTCGGGTTAGGTTAGTCAGTTTAGGAGGACAAGTTGTCAACAGAGATTAAAGTCATTTAATTTTTTATTATACTAAATTCGAATATACAAGAATAAATAGTAAATAAATAAATAAAATTATCTATTATCTTATTCGGTCCTTATTAGTCGAGCCTACAAAAAACAGAATGTATTTTTTTTCTTTCTTTTTTTTTTTTTTTTAAAGTAGGCAAGTCGGGTAGGACGGGTTTATTCGGTTTTCATAGGTTAACTTATAATCTGACCTAACTCAACTGATCTACACAGTTAAAAAATCGAACCCACTTAAAAACAACAAAAAAATCGAACCAAACAGATCGGGTTGGTTCGGTATTGGCGAGTTCAATAGGGTTTTGTCCACCCCTAATTAATAGATTAGTTTACAATCAAACATCATATAAAATCACAAACAATCAAAAAGTCATCTATCATCTGGTCACAAGATTGGTACTTTTTTCCATTTTGTGTTTAAGTAAGAAGAAATTAAGCCCCTGTTTGGTTTGGATTAAAAATCAATTAAAATCTTAACCAATGTCAATAATTAATTTAATTACATATTTTATGGAATTCACAACTTTTTAACCACACATCTCATCATATTTTATCAAAATCTATTAAAAAATCTGACTTTAATCTCTACCAAACGGGGAACTTTTATGTTACTATCAAAATAAGTGCACCTTGCATTGCTCAAAATAAAACCCAAAAATGTCTTCAAGATCTCTAGACAACGATTAATATGGCTTATTACATTTCAAAATGTTTGTTAAGTAAATTTATGATGAACCAAAATTTTCGGTGGTTGAAGTAGACGTTCCATAAACTTTATGACACTTCAAACTCCTTAATAAATTTATGATTAGTCTCGAAAGCTTCAGAAGTTGGTTATGTATATTTATGACTCAACCATATTTATGAATTTAACGATTTTAACGTGTAAAAATGTTCAAGAGAAGTAACTTGAGCATGAAAGTGAGATCGTACGAAACGATAATTTTAGTTTTTTTTTTTCCTTAATGTTGTTCGTTATTGTCTAATTCATCTCACCAATTATGTCAAAAATATCATCCGAAACGATAATTTTAGTTTTTTTTTTCCTTAATGATATTGAATCTCTCGATTGTTGAATATAGGGCCTGTTTGGTAATGATTTGTTTAAGTAAGAAGAAATTAAGCCCTGTTTGGTTTGGATTAAAAATCAATTAAAATCTTAACCAATGTCAATAATTAATTTAATTACATATTTTATGGAATCCACAATTTTTTAACCACACATCTCATCATATTTTATCAAAATCTATTAAAAAATCTGACTTTAATCTCTACCAAACGGGGAACTTTTATGTTACTATCAAAACAAGTGCACCTTGCATTGCTCAAAATAAAACCCAAAAATGTCTTCAAGATCTCTAGACAAAAGTTTGTTAAGTAAATTTATGATGAACCAAAATTTTCGGTGCTTGAAGTAGACGTTCCATAAACTTTATGACACTTCAAACTCCTTAATAAATTTATGATTAGTCTCGAAAGCTTCAGAAGTTGGTTATGTATATTTATGACTCAACCATATTTTTGAATTTAACGATTTTAACGTGTAAAAATGTTCCAAGAGAAGTAACTTGAGCATGAAAGTGAGATCGTACGAAACGATAATTTTAGTTTTTTTTTTTCCTTAATATTGTTCGTTATTGTCTAATTCATCTCACCAATTATGTCAAAAATATCATCCGAGACGATAATTTTAGTTTTTTTTTTTCCTTAATGATATTGAATCTCTCGATTGTTGAATATTAAATATATATAAATGGAGGAATTGGAGGAGGGAAGGTATCAATCCTTGAACGACGTCAAGGGTGAAAACAACAATCATTAACCAATTGGTTTGAATTAATATAATTCAAGTATTTCTTCATAATTTTCAAAGATTATATTCTATATATTTTTCTGCATTTGATTTTAAAATTTAAAATAAAATCAAAACATTAAAGAGGAAATGAAAACATTGAAATAAAATTTTATTACTCTTTTCTCGAATTACTGATATTAAAATTCTTGGATTTTGTATTTATCTGTTATGAATTAATCTCTGATGGTATTTGAATAATTTAATTCAAATTTATTTCTAGATAATTAACATTTAACTCTTCATTGAATTTCTAAATTTAAGGGCAAATACCAGAATTTAAAATATTAGAGATTATCCTCCAAAATGTTTCTCCAACTTTGCCACTTTTACATAGGAAAAAAAATTATAGACTACTATAATTAGAAATGAACGATAGCAAGACTTGAACTCCTATCCAATAGTAGGTAAACGCGGAAGCCATTGCACGTGTCCGTAGGTGTCCAAACTGGACAAAAACAGATGGAATTAAAGAGGCTAAAACAACAACATTTAATGAAGATCAATTTTTGCAAGGTGTGAGGTTGAACAAGTATAAATGCACACTTAATGTTTGAGTTCTGCTACAGCAGCATCAGCATCAATGGACTGCACAGAGAATTTGGAATCAGAGTTAAAAGAGTTGAGAGAAACGTTCAATTCTGGGATAACAAAACAAGAGTCTTGGAGGAGGTCCCAGCTCAAAGCTCTCCTCTCGTTGCTGGAGGAAAAACAGGATGACATATCAAAGGCCCTTGAACAAGATTTGATGTTTGCCCGCTATCTTGTAATCTTTAAATTAAATCTTGTATGGGTATGGTAATCATAAAACATGATAACATACTTTGCTTTTATGGGTATTGTAGTATTTTGGATTTAACCTTTATTTCATTTTTTTTTATGGAAACCTTTATTTCATTTTTAAGGGTTTTATATTTATTGTATTATAGAAAAGTCATAATCAAATACATATATTAAAAGTTGAATTTAAAAAAAAGAGGTAATAAACGGGGCAGCGTCCCCGTCCCATTGCCATCCCTACGTATATAGAGGAGAGGGGTACGGGGGTGGGGTTGAGTTTTTTATTGGTTAGGTGATAATGTGGATAAATGTATAGTGCAAATAAAAAGGTCATCTCTCTCTCTCTCTCTCTCTCCATTTTGATTTTGTTTACTCATTCAAAATTGATGAATGGCGAACGTGATATGATTGTAAAAGATATGATATCGCTAGAATTTCCGTTAGATATAGAGGTATCTAAATGGAATAGTAAAAACGTTTATGTGAAAGACGCCAAATTTATTGTGAATAAAGTTTGTACTGAAGATTGACGATTCACATCCTTCCATTGACTAACCAGGCTGATTTGCCTATCGCTGCATTTCCTTCGAGAGCAGAGTTAGTTCCCGAGCCCCTTGGCGTCATCCTTGTCATATCATCTTGGAATTTTCCTTTCGGTAAGATTTCAGTTCTTACAGGCCGGTTCCATTTTTTTTATGAATAGCCTAAGACGTACACTTTTTATTTTTTTTTTTAAATGAGTGTCGGGAAATCTTGATCCCAAGGACTTTGTATGACCATTCTGAACGACCTCCTCTAAAATGACGATTTTAAAGAGGGGATTTATTTATTTAAATTTTTGTTACCACTCCTCAGGGTTTATAAAGATGACGACATGTTCATGTTTTTCCTGTAAAAATCATAGGAATATCATTGGAACCACTGATAGGAGCAATTGCAGCAGGAAATACAGTGGTTCTAAAACCTTCAGAGCTAGCTCCAGCATCTTCTTCTGTTTTAGCCAACACAATCCACACTTACCTCGATAATAAAGCCATTAAAGTCATTCAAGGAGGTCCCTCAACTTGTGAGAAATTATTACAACAGAAATGGGACAAGATTTTTTTCACAGGTACATACTTCATTCACAAAACTAAAACACTCTTCTGTAAAAAGAAGGAAAAATCCGAGATTGTCTTTACAAAGTTGTTCTCAAATATTTTGTCTTTCGTCTTCTTATTCGACTCTTTAAAAATAAAATAGGTAGTGCAAAAGTGGCTCGTATTGTTATGCATGCTGCGGCTATAAATCTAACTCCTGTCGCCATGGAATTGGGTGGAAAATGCCCTGCCATTGTCGATTCCCTTTCGAGTTCTTGGGATAAAGAGGTAAATAAGTATTTCTATATTGGTAATATTCATGTTGACTCGTATTTAAATTCTTGATCTCTGGTGCATGTAATTTGGGCACTGATCGAAGGATCATCTCGATCCTAGTCTGAGATAGGCTATGAATTTCTATCTTTCACGATTACTCGCGAAAAATTGGCTTGATCAATAATAATTTGAGGTTAATATTGTTTTTAGATTGCAATGAAAAGAATCCTTGCTGCAAAATTTGGGACCTGTGCTGGCCAAGCATGCATAGGCATTGATTATATCCTAGTGGAAAAGAAATTCTCAGCCACCTTGGTATGTTCACTTATAAGTGCTATAAGCCAAAGTTTTCCTTGATTACATTTTATTATAACATATAAACAACATGGTTTTTATGTGATTGTTTCAGGTAAAACTACTAAAGGCCTCCATCCTTAGTATGTTTGGGGAAAACCCGAAAGACTTAAAAAGCGTCGGGAGGATAATCAACAAAAATCATTGTTCGAGGCTGAAGAAACTCTTAGATGAGCCCGAGGTTAAAGCTTCTATTGTTCACGGTGGTTCATACGATGAAGATGCTCTGTAAGTACAATCGTCTCTCGGCCCCTTCTTCCTTCTCGTGTTGAATCACCTCAATTTATGCTGATAGAGAGACGATGAATCTCTGTTTATATTTATATCTTTACCATGACCTTCACGAGTATGTAAAATTCAATATTTTTATGAAATGCCTCACACTTGAAGTCAAAAAAGTTACATAAGTAAACATGTTTGAAAATAAAAATTGTCGCGTATTTACTGAATGAATCTGTTTACTGGATACAGGTTTATAGAGCCAACTCTCTTTGTTGATCCTCCTCTTAAAGCTGGAATCATGATAGAAGAAATCTTTGGTCCATTGCTTCCCATAATTACTGTGAGCGACTATATATGATTTTCATTCTCCTGTTTCTATATTTTACCATGAATAGATGATTTTCAAGAACTTGTATTTCTACAAACAGAAGTCATTTCTTAGTAAATTATATATATGACCTTGTTTGAGCCCCATTTTATCAAAAAATTTGGGTCTGTTCTGTTTACCATTTTCAAGCCGTTTTCTATTTCGATTTTTTAAAACAGTGAAAATACGTTCTCTTTCCTATTTTCCAAAGCACGTTTTTGAAAACAAGTTCAAAATTTACAAAGAAAACCCAAGAAGACAAAATTGTCGTTTTTGGTATTTTTAGTTATAATCAAGTCAAAATTTTCAAAACGTATTTTGGATATTTTTAAAACAATTTTTCAAAATGTCAAAAAGAATACATTCTCAACAATCTCAAAATAAACATTCAAAACCCAAAACCCAACATGAATTCAAAACTCAAAATAGAAAATTGAAACACAAAGAGAACGGACTCTATTTTTTCAAAACTTATTTTCAATCTTATATTCTCCAATAAAATAATTTTACACATAAATCGAAATTTTTTAACTGCACATTCTCCAAAAATCACTATTCAATAATACATTTTTCCCATAAAATGAGGCTCGAACAAGGGATATATATATATAGATATTTTTAATTTTTAATTTTTTGCAAAAACCAAGAAAACTTTATTTTTGTCAGGTGGAGAAAATAGAAGATAGCATTGAATTCATCAAGTCTAGGCCAAAAGCATTAGCTATTTATGCCTTCACCAACAATGAAACTTTAAAGAAAAAGTTAGTATCTGAAACATCCTCCGGAAGCGTGGTTTTCAACGATGCAATCATCCAAGTAAGTTCAGAAGCAACGACACTCGAAACCTCGTAGTTTTAGAGCCATTAATATTTCGTCAACTAGCTTACGTGTTTTTTAACATGCACACGAAGATTGTATCGTCTTGTTTCTCCTGTAAAATGCTTTTTTTTTTTTCCGAGTGCAGTATGTAGCAGATACTCTTCCATTTGGGGGAGTTGGTGAATCTGGATTTGGAAGGTACCATGGGAAGTTCTCATTTGATGTGTTTACTCATGAGAAACCAGTAGTAAGAAGAGGTTTCCTTACAGATTTCTGGTTCAGATATCCTCCATGGAATGATATGAAGTTGCAGATTTTTAAATCTGCATATAGATTTAATTATTTTGAAATAGTTCTCATAGTATTGGGTTTGAAAAGATCTTGAGAATCTCAAATTTATAGTTTGCAGAAATAAAGCTAGTAGGACTAGTACTCTTTTTATCATTTTCTTGTATTCTATCAAGAAAATGGTATCTACAAATGTTAAAATGACTTTGATTTTATGTTGACTAAAATTATTTTTAGCCTATGAATGTATACTCTGGTATAATTTTATATCTATTTTTAGCATGCAACTGTTTGAGTCTGGTCAATTAAGAAATAGAATGAATAAAAGTGGGAAAAAAACCAAAATAAGTACTAATTGTTTTATCAGTAACACTTGGATCACATGCCCTTTTCTCTCCAATCAAACAAAGAAAGGAACTTCATTGAGTTCTTTTGCTTTTAAGTTCAGTTTCTAGATGAGTAAAATGTTGATCCAACTTTGAGTAAAAGTGAGATTCAGTCCTATCTTCTCATGTGCAGCCTTTAAAACAGAGGCTACTCGATTCTGCTTTCGTACTACCAACCTCTTAAAGCATTTTCATATATGAAAACCATACGGAATTGTAGTAAATATACTTCCTATGAAAATTTTATCAAGTAAAACAACCGACCTTATATACCAAGAACTTCAATCTTTTAATATAGGAGAAACAATTAGTTATAGAAATAGAAGGAAAAATGTTGTCGAAAAAAACAGCAAAACCTTGAAAAAAGCTGGAAGCGTAAAGCCACCATTCCAGATAAGAATATTGCTTTAGTCCTTTGGAGCGTTAACAATCACCTCCTTGTAACAAATTGGGCAAGCCTGTTTGATTACAAATGGTTAGCAATATTATCGGTAAAGCACTACGTAAGAAAATTACCAAGGCAATTGGCTTACTTTATTGATACTGAGCCATTTGCTTCCACAACCTGCATGGTAGACGTGTTTGCAAGGAAGAGTCATCTGCCTATCATGTCGTTTGTACTCCATCTGGCAGATTACGCACCTATTAACAGAAAAATAAAAGGTCTGGTTAAACACCGTCAATCTGAAAGTCATTCTGAAGTGGATGAAAAAGCTCGATAGACAAACATTTGAGATATGGAACAACTAAAACATAGCGGCCATTAATTATTCATGATGCTAAAGTTTAATCTAGGGAATCTCGTGCTTTTTTCACCTGACTACACTAAACTTGGTCTATAAAATTTTATAGTTATGCCTAAAGCAAAAATCAATTGATAATCGGCATCCTGTACATTTAACTTCCCAAATATATACATAAACATGGGGTTTACTTCAACTAGTTCTAGGCTTGTTCCAATGAGTCCAAAAAGGTTATTCCAGGGTAGGGAGTTCTTTTGTTTTGACTAAGGATGTGAATAAGACCATCAGTCAGTTCAGCTAATAAAGTTCCAAATATATACACAGAAGAACCAATGAGGTAGATAGATAAACAAATGGATACTCTGCGAAAATATAGCGATTTACAAAAGCAGTTTCGACTTTCCAAAACACTTAACCCAGTGACGGACATGAATTACAAGAATGCTAAGGGAAACTCAATAAAATTGAATCCTAGATGAGAGACGTTTGAAAGATTATGGTACACGAACAAGAAGTTCCCATTAATACGGCAAAAACCCATGCAATCCATATATGGTCTAACAAATAAATCACCACGGTTTGCTTGCAAACAGCGTGATGCAAATATTTGAAGTTAGCTCAGAAATTACAGAAAGAAAGGGAAGTATCAAACTAGCCCAAAACAATAAAGCTAATATCTTATAGCCTATCCAACTTACAGTTGGTCTTCATGTCAGTTGGGGTAGGCATAAAGAGGCAACGATAGAAATTGGGCACAATAATGGGTGAAAAATACAGATTTATCATGAAGTATATTGCAGTGAACATAGTATCAGGGAAAAAAGAAACTAATGAATAACTTTAGCTGGGAATAAATCCATCTTACCTTTCAGCTCTGAATCTCTTTCTTGAGAATAAGCCACACTTGAACTTCGATAATGGGAGCAGTGCAATAAGTTCTTGAGAAAGACCCCTGTTTTGATTTCCAACAGCTTCACCCAACTCAAGTAATTCCTACAAAGAAATGAAATAAATATACACATTTTAGTAAAATCACAACTTTATCCATTTTTTTCCAGCTCTAAGATAAATATCACTGTCCATTGATTCATGAAATCATTGCTGAGATTGGACAGAATAGGAGAAGTAAAAAGCAAGGAAAAAAGAAAACTGTCTGCAATATGATGCATTTCATTAAGTACAAGAACAATCAAGAGAAGAACAAAATATTCATTTATGGGGATTATCCGACATGTTAACATTGATAGGAACCACTCTATAAAAATAATACAACCAAGGGGATGAATGTAAGAAAAAAACCTCCCGACAAGAAATTGTCCACTGAAAGGAGTAGCTTCTATCAAAATGGACAATGCTATCACAATGATAAAACAATGGGCAACAAAATGAAATGGAATTTTATGCCACCACAGAAATCTATTAAAAGAAATCCATGAGCATTTGGTTAGCAATGATATCTCCCCAATGGAAGCAACTTCAGGTGGCTCTTCAAAACCACTTCTCCTGAAGTCACGCACATATTAACTGAAAAAATATTTCCCCCTTACTTTTATCCAACTACCTATGGAAGCCCCATTGTTTTTCAAGCTTGCAACTCTGCCCTATAATAGAGGATACTTATTAGGCCAGAATATTTTGGTTCAGGTTCGCAACCAAAGCTGCCAAATTTTCAAGGTTTCTAGCCACCTATTTTTCTTCTTTTCCATCTTTAAAGTCAATTTTCATTGCATTCTCTGGATTTATGTACTTCACTGCTGTAGAATTGATAGTGTTAAGCAGATTCTTGTATTTTCCTCCTAAAATGTGTCAACCTGTGAAGTTGAAGAAAAGAAAAAGTGATAGCCAAGAGACTTTTCCAAAATTTAAGGAGCAGAGCACCATGCTAAGATTGATATAAGCTCTTTGTAAACTAAGTCTCGACTTACATTTTTCCATTGGAGCATGTATTATCAGGCTGCAAAGGATTTAAATACTTATTCAATTATTCTTATTGATATCCAGTTCTAGAGAAAAGCTTCAATAGGACGGTCATATATGCCCACGTGGTAGGACTTCCATTTAAATCATGTAACTTTGGACCTCGCGCCACTCAAAATGCGACACATAGGCATCTGATGTGGTAAGAGAGAAATAAAGTGGGTGCATGTGATGCCGAGGTGTTGCATTTTAAATAGGTCAAGGTTTGAGGTGTCGTAATTTGAGTGGACATTCCTACCATGCATGTATATAGGACCATCCTACCGAAGCTTCTCTCTGAATTCTGGGGTCACATCTGATTGTCTAGAGTCCACCTGGGATCCACCTAGTTGGCCTAGATATACACTCTACAGGTGGGGATAGCATTCACGCAGTTCTACAAGACTTTTATTTGACTAATGCACAGCCACCAAAGTTTTGGCAGTGATAAAAGTCTCCTCTTTAGGGGTTTCTTTTTTTTTTTTTTTTT